ACACGTTTCACTTGTTCGCGTGGCAGCAGTAAACGTTTCCTCTCACCTCGCCTCCCATTCAACATCATCTTTTTCTTTTTCTTTTTCTTTTTTTTTTTTAAAATGGCACTTTTAGACCGGGAGTAAGTGGTACAGGGAGCAAAGGGTTGGGAGAAGTGGCTGTGTACTGTTCTCCCAGGTCTTACTGCATCCCCAGCTTTATTTTGCCATTGTTGTACACAACGTGTATGGAGCAGAAAGCTACATGCCTACGTTTTCAAACAGGGCAGTGATTTTGAGTTCCCATATTGGGGCACCTTAAAGGCACGTCTTCTTTCAGACAGTGCTGAGCATCTGCCCTCCAACAATCAGTTTCCTTAAGTTGGGCACCCAAAATCACAATTTAGACTATTAATTTGAGGACTTTTCACAAATGTCTTGAGGTCCAGTATAAAGACAGTAATTATATAGCCCCATAGAGATGCATAGCACTTGACGGGTAATTAAAAGGAACAGTACTGGCCCCAGGGAGATTACAATGTGAGTTAAATAAAAAATGCAACAAAAAAGCACGTGGAAGAGGGGTGGGAAAGCAGAGGGTCCAACAGGAATAGAGAGCTGCTCTGTAAAGTGCCTTCAGAATAGCTTTGTATGAAGGGACTTCAGGCTACACTCTGAACGCTGTCTCTATTCACTGAGCGTTGGGGTCTAAGGGGGGGTACTGCTGGAGAAGGAAACGGGGAGCCAAGGAAAAGCGTAGACAGCTGTAGTCAACTGAACACAACAGATGCAGGGCAAAACATGGTTAATGCTGACCGAGAGCTGGGGCAGCGAGTCCAAGAAGCAAACTGCGTAGTTTAGGAATTCAAACTGAAGTAAATTCAAACCTGAGTAAGTGGCAGAAGCTTTGTTGTGAGCCTCGCGCAGGTTTTATCACTGCTCAAAATGTATTTGCGGGTGCCTACCTGTCTTAAAAAGCGCTAGATACTGACAATTAGCAAAGATTTGCTGGTCCTGGGAACCTTCCCCATTGCATGGTCATGTCCATGAGGGCTAATTGTGATGCATTCTCCATGCCCGCTGGTACACTGCGAGAGCACTCTCTTTTTGCACCAAAGGGAAATTAGGGTAGGAGTAGAAACAAAAGATTTTTAAATCTGAAAACTGTTTTAATGTGCTGGTATGCTTAAGAAAAACTGTGTGTGCTTGTGTGCTTTAGTGGCCCATTTCAGTCCAAGAACAGCATTTAAAAACAGTCTGCTAAATGAGTGGGGGTGGGGGGGGGACTTGCTTCCCCATTTCCTGGGTTGTCTTCATAAAACTGCTGTAGTTTACACCCTGTCTTCATTCCTGAGTTAGAATGTTCCTTTCCCAAAAGCAGACAGGACAAAGGGGTGTGTGTGTGTGTGGATCTGCTAGAAAACAGTTCATTTTGGAATTAAATGCTGAAATGGATAAGGCAGTGCAGTATCAGGGGGTGATACCGGCTTGTGTGGCTGAGTTTATAGCACACTTAGACACCTGCTAGTCACACCCAGAACCCTATCCAATAATGCCATTAAATACACAAGAATTGAAAGCATGGAAATAGTCCAGCTGTAAGAGGCTCATGATGAAGTCAGTGCCTGGAATAATTAGCCCTCCCACCTGGGTAGACACACAGTCATTGTCTGACCTGCCCGCCCCACCCCCTTCACTCCAAATAAAATTGCTTCCCATCCTCGCTTCTGTTGGGGTCCATATCTCATATCCTGAGGGAGCCTGAGCCTGTCTTTATTCCTTGCCTGCTTGCAATAGCCCTGATACACCTCCGAAGAATTTGAGTGCTACTCCAGCTGTAATAGACAGGATCAAAGCCGCCTGGGGTGAATTAGCATTGCCACTGGAGGGTAGACAGCGGGTAGAAAATAAGCGGGTTCAGGACCTCTGGGACATTTAGCTGGATTGCAGGAAAAGATTTTGCTGCTTTAAGCTGTGCACTCAGGGCGGGGGCCACTTGCCTCTTGCAAATGATGCCCTTGCTTTAACTACATACCACAGATGCATTTTTAAGGGCTTTGGTCTGTTTGTCTCTTAGAATTGTTTTGATGCTAACACACGACTGTTTTACGAGTGTGGCAACCTAATCCGTTAATAGGTTTATATAGAACAGCTGTCAAAATGTATCTATAATGAGCCACGTACGGGAGGAGGATGAGCGTAACTGCTGATCTGCAGCAAAAGTCTTCCTAGTGTCTTTTCATTGACATTACTGCTACTGAGGTCGGGCCATCATTTATCCTGGTTCTGTGGCAGCGGTAATATCGGCAATGGGAACATACAAAAGATTGAGACCCCGACATGTCTGGGCTGATTTCCACTTCCGTTGCCTTCATGTGGCTGATGAAGATTTGCTGCTGATTTTATCCATGGTTTTCTGTGTCCCCCATTTAAAAAAAAAAGGCTAAATTAAAATAAAATACCCCCCACCCCTTTCCTGTTGTGCTATCCAGTAAGTAAGAGAAGGATTTGGGACCAGATCCTCAGCTGCTGTCAATTGAAATAGCTCCACTGACTTTACACCAGGTAAGGACCTAGCCCTTTGTGATTCGTTAGAGAGGAAGAATGGTCTGTGGTAAAAGATCTGAGTTCTAGTCCCAGCTCTGCCATGGACTTCCTGTGTAACTGTGAGCAACCCATTTATTCTCCGTGCCTCAGTTTCCCATTTGTACATTAAGTGGTGTTATCCTGTCTCCCTTTTGTGAAGGGCTTTGAGATCCTTGGATAGGAAGTGTCTAGAAACGGGCCAAGTATTTTGTGTTTAGATGCGGATATGCTTGGTGCTTATCAAGGAAGATGTGGTCTCGCTCTGCCCCAAGGAATTTGCAATCTAAATGGACCAAGTCTGGACAACCAAATTCATTAGGAGCCTCCGGAGACAGCTCTCTAGTTCTCTCTGAACCTTTCTTTCCTTTGGTTATGAACATGACAGAGGTTGTCCCCAGGCTAATGCCAACGTAATCTGTTTTTGATCAAACCTTTAAGGGGAAACTGTCTGGATCACTTCAGATCGCATCTAGTCTCTTGCTTGCTTTTTGTCTACAGGAAAGACTATTCTACACCTTCATAAAGCTTTTCCTTGCAAGAGACTGAACATGTTTGAGCTATGATGCCACAGCTCTGCAGACTGATGGTCAGATTGTCAGTGATTGTTTACTGTACTTGAATTTGTTAGGGACATCAAGCTGTAAAGACTTCTCAGAGTGTCGGACATCGTGCAGTGGTTGAATTATAGTATTGATGGCAACCTATTGCATGTTTTGCAACAGGTGCCAGGTGTGTGAGCGTGGTTAGCTTCCCAAACTAAATCTGTGTACTTACCGTTGTCATATCAGGTAATAAGGCCAGAACAGCATGTGCTTTGAATATTTACAAACATACAAATAAAATTTGGCTCCACACGCAAACACAGCCCGTTCTATCCACTTCCTCGTTTAAGTGACACTTGCAACTGTCTTCCTGTGGGGAAATATGAAATGTTCAGATAATGCTCAGGGTACCATTACCAAATACAAGCTTCTTGGAACAAGAAACATCCTTGTGGAGCCACAGTAGGGAAACAACTTGCTGAAGTGGCGGGGTCCAATTCAGTGGGATGTCCCACCAGCATCGTGTAGTAGCTTGAGTAACTTCTGGAACCACAGAGCTTTGCATGGTTATGTCGGCAAGAACTGGAAATCCCAAGCACTGGGATTCTCTGCTGGATTCTCTTCTCAGCTCTCTGTTGAAATCCAGTAGTCCTGTTTCTGTGGTGTTCTATTCGTATTGATGGTGATCAGGCTAGAAACAAGCGAAGGCAGCACACTTTCAAACGAGGTGCAGATGCCTGTGAAACAGTTCCCAGATACAGGTCTAGTTAGAATGCCAAGACCTCTGGCCTCCTGTTGGTAATAGCAGCAGTGGGCAGCCTCTAAAATAAGTGATGCTTCAGACTGTAGTTCCAGAGAGTTCCGGCAAGGCCTGGAAAGAGGCTCTTATTAACCAGGTAACAGAGAGTTTTCTTGGGAAACCTATGGGTGTTAATGTCCTACCTTTTTAGGGAGAGCTGCTGTACCACTGTTGGACAAATCCATCTCCCCATCACCCTGGGCTTGTGTCTGATTTCGAATGCTTGTCCCTGTAGATTGGAAGCTCCTCTCGACAGGGACTTTGTTCCACAGCTACGTGAAGGAATTAGCAACTGTCCAGGTCTTTGGCTGGTTGATACCGAATGGGCCTGCAGGTGGTCTGGAAAACAGCTGCCTGAGGAGAATCTTTTTACTTCTGCCTTGATTCTCTTCTGGTTTAACTACATTCTGTCTTTTTAAGTGAATGTAGGGTTTGTGAAGGGTGCCCAGTTGGCAGGCCTGGAGACTGACATTCTCTGCTTATAAACCGCTAGGCCTGCAGTTCTCGTTCTCTCTCTCACACACACACTCACACTCACACACTCACACACACACCCCCCTACACCTGCACGTGTAGATAGGATACATACATATAGTTATTCTCTCTCTGGAATTGCTTCATATTCTTACACCAAAGCCGGTGTCTGCTGCAAAAAGTAACATAGGAGGGCAATGAATTAGTCAGCAAAAGGGGCTGTTGTCATATCCTTGTGCCATCAGATACCTAAGCCCACAGTACTTGCTACTTCAGTATGCTAATCTTTTAGGATTCTGAGCCCAAACTTGTGTGTCTCAGTTAAATAGACTGATCAATGTGTAACCGCTCAGCAGTTTAGAAAATGCCCCTCACTCCCTTCCTTCTTTTCTAGGAATATCTTTCTGTGCAGTTGTTTTGGCAGTAACAAAAGAATGAGTCATACATGTTAAACAACATTTTAAACTGAGCTGGTGAAAACAGTCGCCTATGAGGCTTACCAAGACCTGCACTATCTGTGGCAGGAATGTAGGTTTAATACGAGAAGCCAGAGTCACGCTGAGGCTTCACCAGAAGCTGGGATCAACCTGCAATTGTCACTGCGTCTCCTTCTTCTGCAGGTTATAAAGCCTTGAAGGCGTTGCTGAGAGCATTAGTGGACCTCCAGGATGAGCTGCTCTGTCAATATCCAGGGACGAGGCATCTGGTAGATGGGAAGCAATCAAAAGTGGAGAGGTAAATACAGAACAAGACTGGGTCTGGGCCTTGCTAAAGCCCACCTGGCAGTTAACTTTTTAAATAGGAAAACATAGAAGGTTTGACCTTCGCCATCTCAGCTCTGCTCCCCCAGCTCCTACTGTGTGGGTAATGGACACAGCGGACAAATGGCATTTGAACTTATCCTGTTTTCACCGGGAGCTTGTGTTTTGTAATTTCTTTTGGTGGCGGGAGGGAGGGTTCAGCGACTTGACTTCTGAATAACTAACAGAAGATGGCAAGATAATCAGCAGAGGAGTTGCTGTTAAAGAGAGTTTCCAAATCGTTGCCTTAAAGTGTTTCTATTTTTTATTTTTTATTTTAAATTTCTAGTGATGAGGAGATCCCCAGTGGTAGTGATGAAGAGATGGGAGGTGAGGATCAGATGAAGCGGAAAGGCCCCGCTAAACGGAAGCTAGAGATGGAAGACTATCCAGAATTCATGGCTAAGCGATTTGCTGACTTCAGAACGTATCGGAACAACACCTTGCAGAAGTGGCATGACAAGACCAAACTAGCTTCTGGCAAATTGGGGAAGGCAAGTGTGTATGTGTGTGAGAGAGAGAAATTTACCAGAGACGTTGGGACAGCAGCCGAAGTGTTTCATGCCATTCATACATGGGAACATTCCTTGTTCCATCTAGAGTTACAATAGTAAGAATTAAAACACACGCCCATGACAAACAAAAATCCCCAAAGCTTTTGGAAGGGATATAAGGCCTCATGCTTCAAGGCCATAAGCCAGGCTCTAACTTGGCAGGGTTAGGAGGAAATTTTCCCCATGGGCAGATTACTTCAGAACTGCCTTCTACCGTGTTTCTCACACTTTCCTCTGAAGCAGCTGGTATCAGTCCGCTGTGAGCTGGAGACAAGATACTGTTTATGGTCTGTACGTTTCCCTATTTACTTCATGATTTATTGTAAATACACATACCTGAACACTTTAATTCAGCTGGCAATTCATTTTGTCCTAAGAGATCCAGGGCCTAGCATGTAGGGGTTAATATTAATCATTGAGAAGTTTGTCTGAGCTAGAACAGTGAAGCCTGTCTATTAAGCCAGGTTTTTAGCTTGCCTCAGGGCAGTATCTTTTTGTTGGTTTATTTTTTGTTGGGTTTTATATATATATATATATTAAAAAAAACAACAACAAAAATCCAAACTCAAACTCCTCCAGTAGGAACATTGTCTGCTTATCCACTGACATGGAAAGATAAAGGAACATTGCTGCCTTGAGCAGCAGCTTTCTGCATTATCTGACACTAGTTAATGTTGTTGCAGGGTTTCAGTGCCTTTGAGCGTTCAATCTTGACTCAGATTGATCATATTATGATGGACAAAGAGAGATTACTACGGCGGACACAGACTAAGCGATCTGTGTATAGGGTACTTGGAAAGCTGGAGCAGGAATCTCAGCCCGTCCCCGAATCATTGCCCGGATGTTCGGTAAGAGTTTTTGTTTCCAATGGAAGTGATGAAATTCTCTGCAAATGAATTAAATTGATCCTTTAACAAGTAATGTTCTTGTTGGTGTAATGGGTGATGAAGTAACACTATTTGTAATTTAATGGATTAAAAGATGATTGAGGTGCTTTTTGTATTTCACAATGTTTGTGTTGGTTCCTATGCTTATTCCTGATAGGCAGAGCAAGACTCCAGGTTGGACCATGCCAGCACTTTACCCTGGTCCTGCAATAGGTGTCAGTTCTGTCACAGAGCCTGTATTCTGCTTTGTAAAGAAGCAACTGTAAAATTTGGTCCTAATAATGGGGTTTAAAGCTCTTGACCAGGAAGGTGGAACCAAGAATCACATTGCATTTCACCTGCAAAATATTCTAAGTGTCTACATCAACTTAGTATTTAAGGAATAGTAAACACTCAGCTGTAAAAATTAACGTAGAATTATTGCACTTGCAAAAATATTTTTCCCACTACATTTAAAATATAGGCCCATATATGCATTGAGGCACAACTACATTTAAGTACAGCAATGTGTCAGAGATATCATATGCAGGTTGTGCTTGTTTCATAGGGAATCATAAAACCAGTTCTGTGTTGGCAGTCTTTTTCCATTTCCTTCCCATGTTTTAGAAGTCCTTTAATCCTATCCTTATAAATAATCAAATGCTTAAAAACTTCCTGCAATGGAAGGTGTTCACCATTCCACCATGCTTTCAAATGTTTGTGAGCTTTACATGGTGTCATTGAGGTCGGAGATGGAAAAGGCCCATTGAGTCCTTTCATCCAAACCATTATTAATCCGTGATAGCTCCCTGTTGTATGCGTACTCATTTTTTTTCAAGTTGAATTAAAAATGGTGCTTCTACCACGTCTCCATAGAGTCCTTTCTACAGCCTAATACATCTAGATCTTGTTCTAATGGGTCCCAAGGCTGTACATATTGAAGAACATAAGGTGCTGAAAATATGGATTAGGGAGGTTCACTGCCCAAATCCACCAAAAGTGTGTTAGACTTGTTTTAAGATATGATACCATGTCTGGGTGCTGCCCGAAGCATAGGCACATGTGGGCTTATAAACATTCTCTCTGATGTTCCAGGAGGTCGTCCCTCAAGTCAAATCCAACACGCACCTAAAAGACCTGGATGAGGAGATCTTTGATGACGATGACTTTTACCACCAGGTGGGTCTCTGGAAATCTTTTCTCTGTCTCTTGGCTCAAGTTGGCTTTTAGTATTTCTGGAGTTAATGCAGTAAATTCTCAGCAGTAAGTTCTTCTGCCCAAAGATTCCTCTTAGAGAAACACCATGTTAGTTGCTTGACTGGACATCTGTAATCTCTACCTATTATCCTTATTTCATGATGGTTTTAACTCTGAAATCGCTATGCAAGACATTATCTGTCAATCCTTCAGCCCTGCCTCATGGGGAGGGGTCTTATGGACTTCATTGAAACTACTCTACCCATGTGGATCAGGCTTGCTGAATCAGACCAATCTCTGTAGTTCTCATTGGTGATTATTGCTGTACAAAGAGGAAATCACAGAAGTTTCTACTGCTGAATATTTTAAAGAAAAAACAAATGCTTATGTGGGTGGGAAAGCCCCATCACAAATAAAATTTTTGAAGTTGCTCAGTGGTACATTAGTTACCCTCATCCAAACATAAAACCTGTCTAATCGGCGTGAAGATTGAAAGTGCTGCTGGGCTCCCAAAGCTCTTTCCATACTGAGGCAGGGAGACTACACACACTACTCTGGCGGCTGCAGACTGGGGTGATCATTGTGTTTGTAATTCAGTTAGCAAATGATAATGTCAGCCACATAAAATGCATACTGGAAATTACAGTGCTTTGAAGTGATTTGCTAAATTAAGTCCTGGACCAGTGCCCAAAAAAATATTGCTGGTCCAAGGATCCAGAGATGGTTTTAACATCAGGACTAAACAAATGCCGTTCTATTATTAGAAACCTGAAAATATTAACTAGAGAAGCTCATTAGATCAGCAGGTAAAATCATACGGCAATTGAAGTATGGAGAAGGGAGGTGGAATTATGTGAATTTTAGGGCCTGATAACTAATTCAACTAGAGTAGTAGACTTTTCCAATACATGTCCTGGACTACCAAACAGAACGAAAACATTAGCAAAGTAGGTACTTATTGTCAACATTTTACAGATTGGAAGAGCACTGAGAAATTTTAAGGGGGTGATTTTTTCAGGAGTCCTCAGCGTTGTTCTAAGTCTGCTACTATTGCCGTCAATGGGAGTTTTATTATTGACTTCTATGGGAGCAGAGTTAGGACAAGGCTAAACGCTTTTGAACATCTCACCTGGTAAGCAACCTGTTCAAGGTTACACAGGGCGCAGGTGGCAGAGCAGGGAATGGAACCTGTATCTCTTGATTCCCAGGACTGTGTGTTACGATACGAGCATCCTTCCTAGCCCTGGGGTGAGTTGAACAGCATTTCCATGGCAGGGAGGGACTCAGCAACTCCTGCACTGGAGATTGGATCCCTCTGCACACTCTTTCAAATGCAGAAGGGGGCTGTTGAGCAGCAGTGATTGGAGGGCCAGATCTGTGATGTTAGTGCTGAATATTGGTGTGAGATAACTCTGAGATGCAGACAAATCTGTTCCCATCTTCAGGAGTCCAAGTTTGCAACAAGAGGATATTGCAGATTAAATCAGCATAATAAAATACCGAAATGAACAGCGAGAAATAGCCCCGACTGGCAAACCTTAGGCCTGTACTGTGGGGGTTTTCTTGGCCCTGAAATGTTAAGTTTTTAAAGAAAAATTGCAGTAGTTGAATGGCCCTTCCTCCTTACTAATAATTTTAACTTCGATACATTCTGATTTCAGAATTATGACTAGTCACATTTTAGCTTTTCCCCTCACTGGTTAATTGGGGTGCTGGGGTTAATCTAAATTAAAACTTAAACTAATAGAGGTCATTGAGGGAAGAGGAACACCTGAGTAAAACAAATGGGGCTGCCAGGAACAACTGTATCTTGGCCATTTCCCAAGAGGGAAGTGGCAGCAAATTGGAGTTGTTTCAGCGTTCTGTAGAGGTGAATGATGGGTGACACTCGTTTAATGTACGGCATCTCCGGAAACGTTCCAGATTGCATTACTTGCTGTACCAACTGCTGCCGCCCGCACACAGCGAATAGGAATGGGGACCAATCGACAACATCTGGCAGCACAGCAAGGAATGGGTGCAACTCTTGAAACCCCATAGACTCTAAATATGGTGCTTAGGACTGTGGAGGCTTTAATCACTTACCACTCTTTGGCAGCAGGCTACGACAGCTTATCCTAGCCTCGTACATCACGCACAGACATCTGCTGAGCCGCGAGGCAGCGACACATTCATTTTCCTTTCTTGCTTTTTTTTTTTTCCTTTCTTCCCCCCTCCCTCCCTTCCACCCTTCTCCTCTCCTCTCCTCCCCAATATGCTTATTGGGAGAGATGATCTGTAAAGATTACCGCTTCATTGTGTGCAAGTAATTGTGGGGATGCCAGCCCCTTGACAGACACAGCGTAGCACCTGTTCCGCTGACCTGGTTAATTTCTTCTGTTGAGTGGGATTTGGCAGAGATTGGAGCTGAAGCCAATTCAGTGATAAGGCTAAAGAAAATGGCTGTATGTTTTCTGTCACCTCCCAATTAAATTGGTTTCATAAAGTGCTTTCCTTTATTTGTCAGGGTAGTGAGCTGGAGCTGAGTGTTGCATTCAGAAGGGGTAGAATGTATTACAATAGACCCATGACAATACAATGAATGTGGTTTCTTTCCAGTGGGTCATACGTAAGCGCATGCGTGTGTGCGTGTAAATAAAATATAAAAAAGGACCTGATATTTCAGAAGTAACGAGCGCCCACAACTCTAAATGATTATTGTGGTAGCTCAGCACCTCTAAAAGTCTAACCTTGTGCATTTCAGTGTTTTTTAATTATTCAAATTTACAACTAAGCTATTAGGACTCCCTATTTTTTAAATGCCATTTTATTATAATATTGCACTTTAGTTACGTATTATGTTTATTAAGGGTCAAATACAAGTTCAAGTGCAAGTTATTTCCCCCTCTCTTCAGTCATAGGAAGGACGTTAGGCTCACAAGTCAGTGACTAAAGCAGAGTTGAGACAGTATAAATATACATACTGTATTGTTATAGGTTATGGTCCTGGAATCTTAAGATTCCACAGCTCCTGTGGGAAAGCAGTCTCGTCTTTTACAAGCCCTCAGTGGCATTCAGTGGAATTCACCTTGCAGGGCAGGGGGAATTTTACGATTCAGGACTCAACAATTTGTGTTTCATCCGTTCATCCCGCTTCCTCCATGTTTGCTCGGTTGTTTTGCAGGCAGACAAGCCTTTCGCTGTCTCATAATGATTTTTATGCTGGTGACCCACATTGAGTTGTAATGTACAGCCATGACAGAGACGTGGGACCGAACTCCTTTATTTAGGCTACGCCAGATGAGAATAATTAAGCAGCTTTAAAAAGATCCTGATTACTTAGAGCAAGGGATGTTGAACCCCATTTCACATACCGTTTTAAGGCAAAAAACTACTTTTTTTGGTTTGTTTTTTAAAAAGCCATGTTTATGTAGAATCCCTTACAGATATTGCAGCATTAAGACTTAAGAATCCAGCCTGCTACCAGAGTGCTGCTAGTCTAACATGCTACAGTGGAGATTTTATTATTAGGATGAAATACTCTCCTAGAAGAGGAGAGAGCTGAAATTGGTTTATCTCTAACAGGAATTAGGTTAATGTTCATATGCTAAGTGTTCCACTGGTAGCAACTCTGCCCAGAACAAATGTTCGTCACTGATGGCAGCAGATATGCCTAGGGAAAATTAAGAATATACATAGCTTTTATTCCCACCCTCCCTCCAGCTTCAGTTAAACAGTTTGGCACTGCCTCTCATAATGGCCTGGAGCCATATTATCTTGTGCTGTGATTGTCTCATAAGCTACGTATGGTCACTAATTGGATGGGAGACTCCAAGGAAAACCTAAAGTCTTCAGCCAGTGGTAGTGGCAGTCATTAGATGGGACTATCCCTGTTAGTTAGTACCGTTTCAGGGGCACTTGTCCTAAACTGCTAAACATCTGCTGTGTTGTTCCACCCTAGAGATGGATGCATTTTATCGGTTGGCATATAGGCCCAGCTGCTGAAAGGTATTTAGGTATCTAACCCCTGAGTTTGGTGCCTAAATATCTTTGAGGATTTGGGCCATGGATCTTTATATCCCTTACCTACTCATAGTTAGTTTGTAAAGTGCTTTGAGATCATCAAAGGTTTCTTTTATTTTCTCCACAGAAAGCTTTGCATCTGTATGTTAACTACCTTCCTAGTATTATTGTCCTTAGTGTACTTGTCTACATGATCCAGTGTAACAGCTGCTCAATGTCTGTATTTTAACAATGCATATAAAAATAAGTTAAGTGTTTATCTCACTAAACCTCCTGTTCATGTCTAGTTTTTATCCAAAAGAACTATTTAATCAGAGTTTGTGACAAAACAGCTTCCAGATCTCAAACACTCATTACGATGTTTCTGGCTCAGTTTACTTTCCTTTTGGGTTATAGAGTGATTTAAATCGTAACAGTCTGGCTTTTTTAAAAAACTTAATTTGACGACATAAATTTATCCTCAGGTTCCAACTAAGGGTATGTTTAAAACTGTTCCTGGTCACATACTGTGTTTTTTTTTTTTTTTTGTCTCACAGGTATTTGATAATGCCATAAACAAGTAATTACTAATCCAGTGAACTATTAAAAGTCAATAATGGTGAAGAATAGAGAGAAGGCTAGTTTTCTGACAAGCTGGTTTACCTTAATTAAACTGTTGAGTGATTAATATGGACAGCTGATCTTGTGGCTTTAATTAGATGCATTTAGAGTTTTGTGTGAATAAGAGATGTCTCGAACCATCCCATAGGTTAATGGCAATACAATACTCTTATCATAGGCATGTATCTTTCAAATGGCTCAGTAGATGGTTAATAACACGTTTTAAAGCTTGATTTGAAACTTCTCCTAATGGGTTATTAGAAAACGGAAACCCAGCATCGTTAGCCTTTTTTCCACATACAATTGAATTTCCATAGAATATTTTAAAAAAAATAGTCAAGTGGTTTAGTCCTACAGTTTAGGTTTTTGCATTACAAAAT